GAGAGAGATGTGGTGTGTGTGTGTGTGTGTGTGTGTGTGTGTGTGTGTATGATGTGTATGTGTGAGATGGGACATGTGTGTATGTGATGTATGTATATGTGTGCGATGTGTGTGAGAGAGATGTGGTGTGTGTGTGTGTGTGTGTGTGTGTGTGTGTGTGTGTGTGTGTGTGATGTGTGCCACCATGCACAGGTGGCTGTCAGGCTTTGGTTTTCTCCTTCCCCTGTTGTTTGGGGCATTGAATTCAGGTCACCAGGCCTTTCTGCACAGAGCCTCTTGAGAATTATTTTCTTGTTAGGTAGTTTATAATCTGTAGAAATTGCTATATGTCCATATCTGCACACAGTGGTGTATCCTCTTAGTACACGTGACCACTTATGGGACAACTTTCTCTTTCATGCTTGGGGAAGTTTTCCAGGCCAAGCCCTGTGTACCAGGGCTTCTTCATCATACGTCACCCATGTTTGGGTCAGGATACCTGTGTAAAGAGGTACCCTATACATAGCAGGGTGTTTAAGAGTATCTGCCCACTTGATGATATCCAGAGGAGTGTCTCTAGACATTCATTGACAAATGTCCCCTAATTGCCAAAGTCAGTCCCAGGTGAGAACTTACACTTTAGGCTACTCACTGACTGTTTAACATTCTTTCCTCCTTTTTGACAGCCAATCCAAAGACAATTTTTATGCCACACTGCTCCCTATCTAAAAGACTACCCTGTGGTTGGCTGGGTGAAAATTAAAGTCCTTTGGTCTTTGGGCACACAGATTTCTGGGGAAATGTGGGGAGCAGTAGAAACCCTGGGCATATGAAGTCCTGAGTGAATGAATAGTGTTAACATGGTCATGGCCATGGTGAGACTATCAGCCTTAGCCAGGGTAAGGCTAAGAGGGATGACAAAGGTATCCTCAGTGGTCTGTGTGTGAGGGAGAGACCACTGTCTACAAAAACTAGCCTGCTGCTTCCTTCTGTCTCATGCTCACAGCCTGAGACTGCTGGCCTACAGAGACCTCTGCCCTATGCTGTGCCTAGTAAGTCTACCCCAGGTTCCAGGTGGCCAGCAGTATTAGTGTCAGTTCATCAGAGTGAACACACCCACACCTGATCCCAGGCTTCCTGTCCATGTGTCTGTGTGTCTATCTTTTCATCATTCCCTCCAAGTCCCTGATGAGGGTCCCAGGGCCCAAGAAACAGGAAGATGATCTGAGGTTGCCTTTGTGTCACTGTAAGGGGGGGGGTGTGAAGCAAGTGGAAGCTACTTCTCACACATTACTGCTTCACAACCATCACAGCCCACAGCCCTGGAGCTCATGTCAGGGTCTGGCCACCTGCAGAGTAGGTGATTTCATGGAGCCATTGGGGGTACAGTTGAGAAGTCCTGTGGGAAACCTCACACCAAATGGAAAGAAAGCATGACCTCAAAGGAGAGAAGGCACAGTGTGTGTCGGGGGCTCTCTGTTTCAGCCAGCATCTGTGCCTGCCTGTCAGCCTGCAGAGGAAAGCAGTGATTCAAGGAGGACTCTGACTGAGTGTGCAGGGGTAAGTGGGGTAACAGGGCACTTGCTAAACGCCACCTACAGAGGGAGGGCCAGTCACCTGGGATGAAACCTACAAAAATGAGAGGAGGGGAAAGAAGTGCCAAATACCAAAAACAACACAAACATTTCCAGAACAAATAAAATTGAATCATATTCTTCTGTCTGTGAGTGGCTGTTTGAAGCAAGAAGTATAGTTTACCATTTTGGAGAAAGAAAAACTATAATAGGAAAGTGACATGAATTCAGCTAAATTCATTTATTTTTGAGTATTTTAAAGTCTCCCTAGGTTCCAGAAACCTTGTGTTTAAGACCCCTAAGAAGAAACCTACAAGGAGAAATGCTCAGACTGTTCTCAAAGCTCACAGACCAGCAACAAGATGAGTTAGAGTGCCCGGCTGGCCTGGGCTACAGGAAACCCTGCCTCAAACAAGCCAAAAAAGAAAATGAAAAGAAAAAACAGAGGAAGTTAGCGGGGAATGTGATGATTATGGCTTTGCATGTTGGGGATTTATTACAGTCCTAACCTCCAAGCACTTAAAAAGTTTGACTTTTCCACTTGAAAGTTTTTTGTTTGGTTGGTTTTTTTGTTTGTGTTTGCTTAGGTTTTTGTTTGTTTGTTTGTTGATTTTTGTAGTTCTGGTATCGAACCCAGGGCCTTATGCATGCTAAGCAAGTAGGCAGAGCTACACCCCTGGCCCTAGCCCCTTCCCAGCTATGTGATAGTGTGATGGCACTTACAGCCTTTCCTGGGCAGAGGAAAGTCAGGGAACCATTCAAAAAGTGGCTACTCTTCCTCCTCATAAGCTGCATGATTTGTCTACTAGCACTCTCTTGCCTCTTTCTATCCTCTGCTCTCCTCCTATTTCCCATCTCTCTTGCTATGTGCTATCTCCACTATCCCTCTCTCTGGCTTCTCTAGTCCTGGCCATGTCTAGTCGGTTTTCTTTTCTGTCTGCCCCGGACTCTTCCAGATGCTGCTGGATATTTTCTCTCTCTTGCACACAATAAAAACCTTGCCCCTAACAGAATGATCATGCTGGCAGTTTCTCTCCCCCCACCACTATTTGAGATGGCTTTTACTTGAAGCTATTCTTCATCTTGAGACTGGATCATGTGGGCAAACATTCTTGCACACAATGATGGAGAAGCATCCATCCTAGTCCCCGAAGGGCTAGTTCCATGGAGAAAGGCAACCTAAAGACCCACTTTTCCCCTTCTCTCAGAATAACGTACGCTGATGCAGGTCCCCTGGGTCAGCACTCTGCATTTCATCTATGTGTGGAATATGGTCCTCATGCTTCAGGACATGGGAAGAAACACCCACTTTTTGTGAGTTCTATTATTGCTGTGCATAGAAAGTCTGCTTGGTGGACTCCAACCATGCTGCCATCCTTAGAAGCCAGTGAGCAGCAGTTTTAAGATACTGAGGGCTGAGTGAGACTAGAAGGTGCTAAAGGAGGCATGCGAGGGTGGTTACAAAGAGACTGCCTCTTTAGTGGACCTGGCAAAATCACAGCATGGGCTACCTGAAGATGGCTGTGGCCACATTCTTAGCACACAACATATTACCCAGAACGTAATAGGTTTTCTGCCATTGTTTGTTAAGTCATCTGCAAGAAACAGCTTGGACCCTGAACTTGCAAAATGAAGGGACACCCAGGTGAGAAGGCAGACTCAGACACTTAGTGAGAAGGAATTGAAATATCTGGAAAATAATTAGATAAGAATAGAATCCAGAATGAGGGAAGGGATGGAAGAGGAAATCTCAGGATAGGGTCAAGACAATGATAAATGGGAGCGACTGCAGATAGACTCACTCCGCCCATCGCAGGAGGCTGGCTCTTGGTGTGCATAACATCCCTCTTAAGGGGATGCTCAGGGAATGACCAGCTGGCTCAAGCGAATGAAAGGACTTGCTGCATAAGCCTGATGACCTGAGCTTGGTTTCCAGAACCTATAGTTCCTACAGCAACTCCTGAAGTTGTGTTCTGATCCCCTCCCCCTGCCATGTGTTAGAACCTACTTCTTTGGGATTCTAACATAGACTGAAGACCGGTGGCTCTCTGGGAATACTCAGCAACTCCAGCAGAAGACTGGAATGGCTGAGACATCCAGTCTCTTGAACAACAACTATCCTGTTTTTGACCTTCCCACTGAGAGGCAGCCATTGTTGGTCTGCCTGTACCACAGCCTGTGAGCCACTCTAATAAATCCCCTTTAGCATAACAATTCATTATTAACATAATTCATTCATTATCAACTCATTGATTTTTATTAATTAATAATCTAGTAATTCAATTAATTCATAATTCATTCTATCAGTTCTGCTCCTTTAGAGAACCCAGGCTACTTTGTGGTTAGGTTTTATTTTTAATATTTGTCTTATAGCAGGATGGACTTGGGTATGCCTGGCTTCATCCCTTAGCATTGCTGAAAAAGAGCTCCTGCAGGGAACAGACAAAGCATGGTTCTACCACTTTTTTGTTTTTGAGAACTTATGTTTATACATTTATAAGATATATTTATGTTTATGTTGCATTATACATATTAAGAATATTTCTCAGCTACTGCTCCATTAATGAGAATTAATTTAATTTATATGGGTGACAGAAATTATAAATTTCCTTATTACCTGAAAAAAAAGCAAAGGTGTGTTGTGCTATTTAGCAAACCATGTGAGCACAACGGTCTACCGTTACCTCTCCATAGTAGAGTGCGAATGGAGACCAGAGCCCAGCCAGGGTATCTGTCTACCAAAGATTTGTGAAGTGTAACCTTTTATTTTTAAAGAAAGAAATAGGTATCATAAAGAAAACTCTTAGTATTCTTTCCTATACTCAGAGGGAAGTACTGCACTAGACCCAGTTAGAGTTCCTCTGGGTCTACAATGAATCCTGAACCATGATGGGTATTTTTCAAGTGTACAAAGTATCCACAAATAAAGCATACATGAGACTCTCTGGGAAATCAGAAGCCAATGGCCAACAGTTATGATAAACACTAGAACTATCACAGAACAACAAAGTGTGGCAAGACAGACTTTTGGGAAGGAACTCATCACAACCATGTTGGGGCAGGGGGGCTTCCTGCTCTCTTTGCTTTGCTTACATTGTAAATCACATCCTTGATGCTAAAAGAGAGAACATGTTGCAGAAGCCAACAAAGCTTAAGTAAGCACAACATGAAGTGCCAGTCAAAACACATTTAAAAATCGGGACAGAAAGTAGACAGTACCTTAGAAACTGATCCCTTGAAGTCAAGCTTAGGAAGGATATGGTTCTTTGAGTATCTTGGTTAATTTACTTCCTGTTAGTTTATGAGTGATGGAAATACCACCTGTCTCTTGCATCTTAAGATAGTACAAAATTAGCGGGCTCTGACCTCTAAAATCAAAGAGAACTTGGTGAAACTCTGGACCGAAGCTCCTGTAGTGGGACTGTGGGAGGAAGAAGAAAGCACAAGTCAGTTACCACCTTTCTCTTCCTGGAGAACTGTAAGCATAACGAAAATTCCCATTGGGTGAGTCGAAATACATAAAAGGAAATTCTATAAAGCACCCTTTAAAAAAACATTATTTTCATGTCTATGTTTTGCTTGCATTAAGGATGCCCATTAAATGTGTGAGTGCCAGGAGAGGCCAGAAGACAGTGTCAGATCCCCTGGAACTGGAGTTATGATGGTTGTGAGCCACCATGTTGGATGCTGAAAGCTGAACCCAAGTCCTCTGCAAGAGCAGCCAGTGCTCTTAACCCCTGAGCCATTTCTCCAGCCCCTTTCTTAATGAAAGGGACTTACCAGCTTCTCAAACTAGATTGTTTGTGAGAACATTATTTCTGGATGCTATTTTCTAATTTTATCCATCCATCCACCCACCCATCCATGCCTTATCATCTATTAGTAATTTGTTAGTTATCATGAGACAATTGGTTTCATTATGACAAATATATTATTGTATCTTGCTTATATTCACTCTTACTCTCAGAATATCCTGACTCCCCCCAAGTGGCACCCCAATGGTCCCTCTTCTGCTTTCCTAACCCCCCCACATGATCTCACATGAAAGTGGGATTTTTTTCTTTCTTCTCTTTTTAGTAGCTCTTCTTGTTCTCCCTATTACCTTCTTTTACACTTTCTCCTTTTTCCCTTATAGCCCCCTTTACTTTCGTGTTCTCCATAGACATACAAATACACATTTATGTTTAACCTAGATTCCACAATTCCACATATGAGAAAAACTGGGTAACATTGTTTTTCCCAGTCTGACTTATTTTGCTCAACATTATGCTCTCCCTCTAGCCTTTTGTTGAACATCAAGGCTAATACTTTATTCAGTCTGAGGAACAGGAAGAAAGGAGATGGGGGAAGGAGAAAGGGAGAGAGAGAGAGAGAGAGAGAGAGAGAGAGAGAGAGAGAGAGAGAGAGAGAGAGAGAGAGAGAGAGAGAGAGAGAGAGAGAGAGAGAGAGAGA